CGGCGATCTTCACGGTCTGTTGCTCTACGGCGGCATCCAGTGCCCCTTGCTCTTTGCGTACGGCCTTCTCGAAGCCATGCCTGACAACACCTAACCACAGTGACTACACTTCTTTGCACTCTAACTGCAATTGCCCGAAAAGAAAGTCCAGCTTCCCGAAGTCCCACTATACGGCCCCTATCAAACTCACTAAGTTGATGAAATCGTACAGGTCTCCGTACTCTAGGCATCGTAACCGATCGTAAAGGATGTCAAGAACCAAAATCCGCCAACGTTGATTCTTTACTGCGGCTGAAATATTCATTTTTAGAGCGTTAGAGAATTAAAAAAAGCAGTATAAAAACCGGAATGTCCAACTGATAAGGCTGAAAATTTTTTCACTTGTTATTTACAGTAAGATAAATACATTCACCAACTTTTATTAAAATAAAACCATTTAAACTGGGTGTTCGGATTTATATGTCACTCAGTATAAATAGATATCTCCACCACATGATAACTGTTGTCTTTTATAAACGAAGGGCAAATTCTCCCTATGTCCTGTTCATTAGATCAATCATTTAGTATATTTTACGGTACAGAACCATATTTACAGCCACTTTCATGAAAATGAACATGAGTACTTCAGCACGGGCAACTGTTTTGCAATTTGTGCAATAAATGGTGCGTGCTAGTACATCGCGCTTAATTGGGAGCGTGCCTCAAGATGAAGATTTTATATTAATTAGAAAACGGATCATTACCGTTTGTTACCGAGCCGGGATTCAGGAGAAAATGGTCGTTTCGCGTTTTGCAAAGTAAACGTTACAATAAGGGAAGTATGTTATTTTACAATGCGGAAGAAATAAAAGGATAAATGTGTATTTACAGGCTAGGCAAGATTTTCACTTCACAAATTCGAAGATCCTTTCACTCTACTACTCAAACTATACTAAAAGTTCGATAGCTGCCTTATAGGGTTTGAATTCATACTACAAAGGTGAGCATGATGACTTTGCTAGGGTACTCTAGATGATGGCAATAATATAAACGAAGGTCCTGACCTTTAAATCTTACATTTCATGTTATAACAAAGACGAGCAGGAAAAACATCCTTATTTACGGCACAGATCTCCTGAAACTGCCTTTTACTGTATTCGCGAAAAACAATGTCGCTAGTACCCGTTGATCTGTCTGTCAGACTGAAGTTCTGTCGGTCCGTCTATTTGTATGTCCTCTGATCCTTGACCCGTATGTAACTTAAAAAGTACCGCTCGGCCTTAGATAAACTTTCCACACAAGCTCACCTATATGCTAAGGAGGAAAAAGCTTTGCAGTCTTTAAAAATCGGTCCAGTGGCAATAATGCTACTGGGCAAAAAACAAAGAAAAGAAATCATTTAAATTTCGTTCTTTAACGTTTCAGATGCTTTTGATTATTTGCCGAAAGATTTTTGTAAGCGTTAAAAGTTGGGGGTTGGAGGTTGCAGAGGATGTGGGCGAGTATATCTCAATTTTTTGATTTAGGTACATCTATACTGTCCCAACCCCGATAATTCTACGCAGCTATTAGATATCTTACGTATCATCTATTTACCCCTAAAACTTGAATGATATAGAAATGTATTTGATACGCATTTCTGCTTCTACTCTCTAGGGTCACCGTCGAGCGTACCGGTCTCGTTCGTTGCGCTATCCTTACTGCTGCCGCGTTGCGGCGTCTGATTGTATGGTACTGTAATTGACTTTTCACCTCAGAGGGGCTAACTTGTGCTGGACTTGATCCTTTTATTCAGAATATATGCCAGAAGCTTATACTGAAATTCCTACAGGATTTTGATATTTGGTCTAGTTACCATGAAGCTGGTAGGCAAATCATATATTTTTGTTATAGATGAACGTCAAATTGTTTGAATAAATAAGGTCGTACAAACATGAAATTTGCACGAATATCGACAACTTAGTTGAATGGTTGCTTAAACTGAAATTGTCAAATTATTCAGAGGTAAAAATCTCAGGCAGACAGTCATTTATAGGGTAGTAAGAAAGACAAATTTACCGAAAACTGAGGACCTCATGTTTTTTCTCAGAACAGGGTTAAAAGACTTATAAATAGAAAGCGGTCGAGACAGAATTGGAATATCTGGTCGAAAGCCAGTTCGCCGTTTTGGGGTCTTGTACAAAAACTGCGAAGAGGACTTGGCCAGGAATGGCGACATTGTCGAAAAATCTGAAAGTATCCCAAATTCACTAAGCCACATCTTAAAACAATACTTGAATGTATCCGGGGTCTGAGGTATAAGCATTTTATGAGATTGTAGTAGATGATGAAAAGTATTTCATGATGTCGCATTCAGAAATGAAAGGTAACGATGGATTTTACACCCTCGATATTGAACTTTGTCCAAATATAGTCAAATTTAAAGCATAGATGAAATTATCTTACACATTTCTAGTCTGATACGCGTTTTCTGAGGTTGAGTTTCAGTACTGAAACCCATGACTAGAATGACAACATAATATCTTAGCCCCACTTCACTTGGTGGCATAAGCCAGAAGAGCTCGAAACTGGTTGGAACAGAAAAACGCTCGACCAATCAAAGGATGTCGGTCGTTTCTGCGTCGAAAAGTTTATGACAACGGATGGGAAGGCCTAATGAAGAACAATTGCAGGCGCGCATTTTTAGACGCATTTGGGAAGTGGACATTGCGTGATACTGAAGACGATGGTCACTATCAGTGTTGTAGATTTGTTCTCATATTACCAAAGGTATAATTAATCATTACTATTGAGAAAATTTCATTATTATAATCAATCCTGTTACATGTATACTGGGTATCTGCCAAAGGTTGGGAAATCTCGAAACTGGAGATACTACAGACCAAAATATGTGAACTGACTAAGCATACCTTAATCCAAAAGTTGATAGTTAGCGAGATACAGGGTGTCAAAGTTACGAGTTTGTTTTCCAGTTTTCCTTATTGCTTGAGAAGGCAGCAGCTCTTCGGTCTCCTGATCAGTCGCCATGCGCTGTGCGGGTTCAAATCCCGTCCCAAGAGAAATTTTTGTCTTGGCTATGGATGCTGTGATTGTCCGTAGGTGGATCTCGTAGGTGGGGCCAGAATGTATGCATGTTGCATGCACACGTGTTCCCTCGCCAGAGTCCGTGCGGCGTCCCTCCTTCCCCCTATATCCCCTATAGCCCCACGGTACCCCATGGGTGTTTATACATTAGGCCTTCGTGGTAGTTGGAATATGAAAAAAATATTCCAGATTTTGGCATAAAACTCAGTATAGGGATGTGAATATTATGCGAGTTAATGGGCCCATCCGTTCCAAATCCTGCGTCGCCCGAAAATAATATTAACGAAGTAAAACCATTGTCGTGATTAAACTTCCTTAAGAGCCATGTACAAAATTCTACCCTTGCAGGTTCATCATCCGCGCTTAAGATATGTACTTTTTACAGGTGGTATGGATGGAGCACTTGCTCCTGAATAATGGTATTTACTTTACATTTGGAAACTTGAAATTATTGAGCTACATTCCTAACCCTAACTGTAGGCTTTTCAAAGACACGTGCAGTTCTGGGAGCTCCACTATGTCGGCCGATATTTTGAGCACAGCTACCTAAAATCCAAATGGTTTGTACCACTCAAAATAAGTCTATAATCATTTCTTACCAGCTTCTCGCAACCGCTGATCTATTCGTTTTAAAGTCTTTGAATTAGGCAGGTGTCTATTAGGGAATCTGTCAGCGTAAAATATTCGTGCCTTTAAAGCATTACATCTTGTCAATCCGTACATTAAATGCATATCAGAATATTCATCAGACGTATACTCCATGATGTTTAACAACTTATTGTCAGCTTAAAATTATTCATGAAGCTTAAAGCAATATTATGACAAAATTAGAAATCATAGCAATGCTGCTCAGACATTATCCAAAGCAACTTGATTATTATGCTATAAAAAGGTTTCATCATGGTCCAAATAATACATTGGAACCCTTAAAAACAAATATATCTTTTTTTTGTTGTGGAGATACGAGAAAATAAGATTTTTCGGTCGGTGCAGGGTAGCACAAAAAAGTTATGATAAGTTATTTATCGAAACAGTGGTGTAAGGGGCGCCCTCTAGAAGTTCGGTCCTAAAAAATAATGGATTCTTGTTTCTCATACTAGAAGACCTCCCTATACCTAGTTTTATGCCGAAATCTAAAATACCTTTCAAGCTCTAAGGAAAAATATAAAATAAGATTGTAACTTTGACACGCTGTATCTGGCAAACTATCAACTTTTGGACTAAGGTATGTTTAGGTCAATTCACATATTTTTGTCTGTAGTATCTCCAGTTTCGAGATTTCCCAACCTTTCGCAGACACTCTGTATACATCGTGTGACAAAGGCTACGATGATGTCATTATGAACTTTATAAATAAATGTCCTAGTCAACGATGGTTGAAAAACGTAAAATACCACCCTTTCCTAGACAAGCAACCTCCGTCTGGAAGACACCACAAAGCTTTATCAAAAGTTTTTAAGTCTAAAACTCTATAGTTCTGTAATAACAACTTATCACTAAAACTGCTATTACCGTTTGCTTGTAGCTTTCGAAATGGGAATAGAGGAATATTTAAGGTCCCTTAAACAACATATGTCTATGTGGTAAAGGTGACGGTGATGTCATTATGAACTTCCTAAAGAGACGACTTTGTCAACGATGATTTAAAGACACAAAACTCACCACCTGTTCCTAGACGAGTAACCTCTGTCAGGAAGACACCATAAAGCTTTATCAAAGTTCTCAAATTATAACTAAATTGTCCTGTAATAACAATTTATCACTATCACTGAGCCTACCGTTTGGTTGTAGCTTTCGAAATGTGGCATCATGCAAGAACATTGAAAATCCCTTGAACAACAATATTCGTATCTATATGGTAAAGGTGACGATGATGTCATTAAGAACTTCTTAAAGAAACGTCTTTGTCAACAACGTTTGAAAGACTCAAAACTCACCATCCATTCCCTGACATGCAAACCCCGTTTGGAAGGCACCATAAAACCGTCTCGGAACTTGATCGCACCGGTTGTAAATCGTCTTTTTTCCGTTTCTTCATGCAAAACCGTCTTCACACTGCGTCGAGACGTCAAGCGTCGGAGGCGTCGCGTCTTTTCTTCGCGTCCGCGAACGTGCACTGAAAACAATCCGTGTTGGCTTGAGGTGCGAATCGCCGCGCTGCGTGACGTAGAGGGCGCCAGTGTCGAGGTGCCAGCGGCCAGCGCCGAAGGACGCCGTCGAACAAGGATAAGATCCGGGCTCTCGGTACTTCGGGCTGTCAGGTCGCGGAGGACAACAGCATTGGGCTATTTTGAGGGACGTTGGACAAACAATTTTGGATTGAAGGATTTTTTTAAAAACATTTCCTATGGCTAGGCTTCGGCATCGGCCACTGTGTGAAAATACACATTCGGCCTTCCAGTTCAAGATCCTAGGGGTGCCAGAAATTACTTATTTTCTGAAGTACTAAGCATGGGTGGGACATTTAGCAGAATTTATATGAACTTTTAACAAGGTATCCCGATATGATTTGTCCTCCCTCTAACTGTTTTATATGAATTTTTATAAACAAATGGTTTATAAATGACGTATGGAGTCTATACAGTGTGTCAGTGCTAGCTATTAGTGTCCGGCTCAAAAAAATTCTACTTTACTCTACATCAACAAAGCTTCTGGTCCAGACTTAATTCCTGCCGTTGTACTGCTCTGAAACTTGCTCTAGTTCTTCCGCATCTGTTCCAGAGCTCTTATCAATTAGACATAGTGGAAATTTGCTCATGTCCAGCCTATCCCAAAAGAAAGGATCTAAGACCGACCCTTACAGCTACAGGCCTATAGATATGCTTTGTGTTGTAAGTAAGGTAAATAAGAGAGCTTCTGGAGTATCTCGAACATCAGGGCTTGCAAACGACATGCAGTATGGTTTTCAGCTCCAGCGCTCCACGGGGGACTTTCTAGCTTACGTCACGCAATTGTCACTCATATGGTGAGGCTCATGCCGTTGCTCTTGATATCACAGAAGCTTTCGATCACATGTGGCATGCTGACCTCTGATGCAGACTTAAATCCTACGGCCTCCCAGAGAAGCATTTGCAGATGTGTGGCTGACTTCCTCTTTGGCCTTAAGATATTCGTCATAATTAAAGGGTTCTCCACTTCCACGCGGGTCTACCCCAGGAATCTGTCTTGGCTCCGACATTGTTTCTATTAATAATAATAATAATAATAGTAATAATAATAATAATAGTAATAATAATAATAGTAATAATAAAAATAATAATAATGATAATAATAATGGTTTATTGGTGTTATTACACAGAACGTACTTATACAAGTCAATATATACTAAGTGACATATAAATCCGTACACCCAGTTTAAATGGTTTTATTTTAATAAAAGATGGTGAATGTATTTATCTTACTGTACATGACAAGTGAAAAAATGTTCAGCCTTATCAGTTGGACGGTTTTTATACTGCTTTTTTTTAATTTACTAACGCTCTAAAAATGAATATTTCAGCCGCAGTAAAAAATCAACGTTGGCGAATTTTGGTTCTTGACTTCCTTTACGATCGGTTGCGATGCCTAGAGTACGGAGAACTGTACGATTTCATCAACTTATTGAGTTTGATAGGGGCCGTATAGTGGGACTTCGGGAAGCTGGACTTTCTTTTCGGGCAATTGCAGTTAGACTGCAAAGAAGTGTAGACACTGTGGTTAGGTGTTGTCAGGCATGGCTTCGAGAAGGCCATACGTAAAGAGCAAGGGGCACTGGACGCCGCTGTAGAACAACAGACCGTGAAGATCGCCGCCTAAGATTATCGGCCTTAAGGGACCGTTTCTCCACTACCAGGTCCATTGCAAATCAATGGTTTGCAGAACACGGAAGACCTATTGGCATGCGAAGTGTTTACCGACGAATGAGAAGTTTTGGCTTGTTTTCATACCGGCCACACTGGGTCCTCTCTTTAACTCGAGAACACCGACGTAATTGCCTTGAGTGGTGCAGACAACGGTCACTCTGGGATCAGGAATGGAACAGTATTGTCTTTAGTGACGAGTCTCGATTTTGTTTAGGCATGCACGATGGTCGTGCCAGGGTTAGAAGGCGACGTGGTGAAAGGAGGAATCCACAGTTTTTTGTTGAAAGACATGTTCATCACACTGTTGGAGTTATGGTTTGGGGTGCTATAGCTTATGGTTCCAGGTCACCTTTAATCTTCATCAGAGGTAAGATGAACGTGCAGCGTTATATCCACGAAGTTCTAGAACCCCATCTTTTACCCTATCTTGACACCCTGGCAGATCCAACTTTCCAACAAGATAATGCCCGACCACATGTTGCAAGAGTCACAACAGACTTCTTTCAACATAATGATGTCACATTGTTACCATGGCCACCAAGATCTCCCGACTTATCCCCAATTGAGCACGTGTGGGATATGATGGGTAGGAGATTGCTCAATTTGGAACGTCCTCCTCAGACTCTAGAAGCACTTCGAGAGGAGTTGGTGGTTGCCTGGAATGAGATACCACAGGAGGACATTGACCACCTGATCAGAAGCATGCCTAGGCGCGTTGGAGAATGCGTAGCACATCAGGGTGCATCCACACATTATTAAAGGTCAAAGGGCGTTAAAGCAGTGCAATCATTTTGAATTTTTTATCATTTACTTATTATGCTTCATTAAGTACTTATACAAAATTTTATTAAAATAAAACCATTTAAACTGGGTGTTCGGATTTATATGTCACTTAAGTAGAAGCGTAGTAGAAAGAAGAAATAAGTGGACAAACAATACATATAATAACAAATACTGCAGATTACACACACATATGGTTAAAAGTATAAAAGATAAAATATAACAGACTACGTCAAATCAATAAATAAATGGCTTAAGAGGTAAAACTATAATAAATAATTAATTAAATGCTTCGAATAAAACGCAATTAAGAAAATATAACTATTTAGTATACGTGAAGAGGTTGTGGTTGAGGAACTTGTCAATGGTGAAAAAAAGCTGTGATAAGAGCAAATTTTTCACAGCTTTACCGAATTCATTGTATGCTAGAAATCCTTGGGAAAAATATTATAAAATTTTATGTCATAGTAGTTAACTCCATTTCTCGCTTTAGCAAGTCTATGTTTGGGTACAAGTTGTCTCTGTGTCAAGTATAAAAGTTAGGATTTGACTTGACATGCAAGAGGCAGCTTAATATACGTATATACGTATATGCACCAGATAATGTCTGTATCTCTTTAGTTTGTTGAACTCAGGTCTGCAGGGATTTCTATATTTTAGATTTGCTATAGTCAACGCCAAACAAAGTGGCGTGCACGTCATCAAGGTGGGTGTGTTGAAAAATTTACATACATTGTTGCCAAACTTTTTGTAAAATAATAAAATTTATTATTTACATATCTAGGTTTATAAGCAATATTAACCTCAAATGAGAACAAAAATAATAGTATAATAAAATTATAGATCTGTACTTGCATAATCATTAAGTATGACAATTATTGATCAGATGACACTATGAAACTACCATATTTAATTGATAGCTTAAAGGTACTGAATAAAAATCCAAATGGGGTCCTCCAAATTTTATGCATGGTATTTATTTTACAGAATTCATACAGAAAAATGCATTCTAAAATTAGGTAAGCTACTGGTGTAAGCTTTTTCTGTACAATAAAGTTAGTCGGAGTTTCTTTCTTCAGCGCTGTCTGAATCTGAATCTTCATCACTCTCAAAGTTGATTATTAAAGGTTCGATGTCTGGTCGATCAAAAATTCGTTCTCTTTCATACCATTTAAAAATTTCTTGCTCAGTATGTCGAACACTATTTTTCCACATGTCTGGGGTAACCGTTTGTAGAGCCTCGTTCCACATATCCAAACAGTCTTTTTCACTGTTACCATCTCTACCAATATGTCTGTTATAGTAACCTTTTGCTATGCCCCAAATTAACTCAATAGGGTTAAATATACAATGGTAAGGAGGCAGACGAAGAACTTTGTGCCCATGTTGTTCCGCCAATTCATCAATCACGTATATTTTAGGTGGTTTGTTTCTAAAAAAGCAGTTATTTTAAGAATAGGAATAAACAAAATAAATATAAACTGTCGACCAAAATATATATAATTAAGAAGCATTATGTACCGAGCAACAATACTCAATAGCTCTGTTTTAAACATTGTGTTTAAAAATGGTATGTTTTGATTTGTCAACCAGTCTTGGATATTTTTTTTTGTCCATGCATTGTTGGGCACCTTGTTCAATATCATGCTGTGATAAGGGGCGTTATCCAGTATAATCATAGATGGACTCTCCAATTTTTCTAATAACTGATGTTGAAACCATTTCAAAAAATTGTCCTGGTTCATCTCTCCATGGTAATCGCTCAATTTTGTTTTCGAAGAAAATATCGCTTCACTACCCTCAATAAACCCATTTTCATTTCCAGCATGTAATATAATGTATCTAAAATATATTAGTTTTAAATTTTATAGTGCAAATTGTGTAAAAGTACATACCTTTTACCATCTGTTTTAATAGCTTTCACGCTTTTTTGGTTTCCATTTTGCCAAGAGCGACCTATGGTCCCATTTTGAAATATCCAAGTTTCATCGAGGAAGACAAACTGGTATAAGGCCTCAACCTTGGCTTGATTGTATTGCCTTAGAAATTCCACCCTTTTCAAAGCTATACTTGGTAGTTCCATGAGCCCTCGTCGCGGATTGTCCTTAAGCCACTTAAATCCAAGATCTCTAAGCAACCGCCTTAAAGACGTGGCACTACCATCAAATAATGCCCTATCTCTTAATCGAGACCATAAAGTTTGTATCGTAACTTGTTCTTCTGAAACCATGTGTAATATGACATTATAATTTAGTTAACAAATTAATGCAAATTTCTGATAAGTTATTATAATAAGATCTTACTTTTGTGATACATATTATAGATCACTTCTCGAATGGCACTTGTATCCAATGTCGCTGTGTTGGTTACACGTTTAATATAACTCCGCTTTTTCTTGGGCGATTCTAAATTTGCATCACTTTTCACACCCTCGGAAATACGACTAAC